TTCAGGGTACCTTAAATATCCAACCCGCACGGCAGAGCCTGGCAAGCTATCCGTGGTCTATGCCAAATAGACCAAATTGATATGCCAAATCCAGTAATAAATGGATCTCATTTCCCTAACCCTTAATATGCAGAGTCGAGAAGGATATGGAAGGAGAGGCAGATAAAACACCAAGGCAGACATAGGCTGCCAAAATGCAGAAAAACAAAAATGATTGTCTGTACTTTTAATGCTCGTACGCTGGCATCTGCTGTATCCATTGAAGACCTTATGGTACAAGCGCGAAAGATCAAGTACGACATCATTGGTCTGACCGAAACGAGAAGACATCAATCCCATCATGCTGTTTTCAACACTGGAGAAGAACTGTTCCTTGGAACATGTGATAAAAGAGGCGTCGGTGGTGTCGGTATCCTTGTCAACACAAACTTAGTCACGAGCATTGATTCATTCGAATGCCTAACAACCCGAATCGGACGATTACACTTGAATAAATGTGGCTCACTACCGGCAGTTTCTATCTTTGTTGTCTATGCACCAACATCCAGTTATGGTGAAAGAGAAACTGAGAAATTCTACATGGAGCTGGAGAAGTTCTATAAAGAAGATCACACCTTCTACAAGATCATTGTCGGTGATTTTAATGCCAAGATAGGACCAAGAAGATCAGTCGATGAACTCCACATCGGAACCCATGGCCTGGAATGGAACGAACAGGGTGACAGACTGTCTGAGTTCATCATGTCAACCAAAACCTTCCATGGTAACTCACAATTCCAAAAGGCTGAATCTAAATCCCGATGGACGGTTCCACAATGAAATAGACCACATCATATTCAATCGGCGGTTTTGCCTAACCGATGTTGCTGTTGTCCCAAAATTCCAAACGGGATCAGACCACCGTCTTCTTCGTGCAAAATTCTACCTCACAGAACGAGGAGAAAAGAATGCAAGGTTTAAGAAGAGGACTCCCAGAACAACCACCAACTGGGAGCTCTTTGGCTCTATTGCGGCAACATGGGAAGATGCCGTCATTGACAACATTGATGAGGAATACGATCGAATGATTCAGCACCTCCATGATTGTGCAAGGAATGCCAAGAGAGAGATAACCACAAAAAAACGTCTTTCTTCGAACACTCTTGAACTTATTCGCCAATGTGGCTTGGCACATGCCTCAGGCAACCACAAGCGAACATCCGAACTGGCAAAACAGTGCAGAGAAGCCATCAAGGATGACCTCAAAAACAGGAGAGCAGCAGTACTGGTAGATGCAGCAGAAGCTGGGAAAAACATTCGTAATGCCCGCCTGTCCTTCACCAACTACAAAACCAAGATGACTGCCCTCCAACATCATGATGGATCTATCACATCTTCCAGAAGGGCAATGGAGAAGATTATTCATGACTTCTACTCAGATCTCTTTAATAGCCACATCCATTTGCCCACATACCACATACCACATGATGGATATGTCGTTCCCAATGTTCTCCCTTCCGAAATCCAACATGCCATCTCGTCGGTAAAGAAACAAAGAGCACCTGGCCCAGACAAGATCAGACCTGAACACCTGAAGAACTTACCATCAGTACTCATCAATACATTGGCTCGACTCTTCACACGCTACCTGTCTGAATACAAGGTTCCATCCCAATGGAAAACCAGCAGGACTGTACTACTATACAAGAAAGGAGACATCCACAACATTGGCAACTATCGCCCAATCTGCCTATTGTCTGTCATCTACAAACTATTCACTCCAGTCATCCTGAATAGGATTAGCAGAACACTAGATAAAGGACAACCATGTGAACAAGCTGGATTCCGAAAAGGATTCAGTACCATCGACCATATCCACACAATAACCAAGCTCATTGAGGTATCTCGGGAGTTCAAGATGCCGCTCTGTCTAACGTTCATTGGTTTAAAGAAGGCCTTTGATTCTGTTGAGACGGAAGCGGTCATGGAAGCCCTAGCCAATCAGGGCATACAAACTCAATACATCAGGATACTTCGTGAGCTCTATTGCGGATTCACTACCAAGATCTCACCATTCTACAAAGAAGTAATCATCCATATCAAGAGAGGGGTTCGGCAGGGTGATACCATTTCACCAAAACTCTTCAGTGCCACCCTCGAGAACATCATGCGACGACTGGAATGGGAAAACATGGGAGTGAAGATAGATGGTCGGCAACTACACCACCTCCGCTTTGCTGATGACATCGTTCTAATAACACCAAACATCAGCCAAGCGGCACAAATGCTGAACAACTTTGACTGTGAATGTGGAAAGGTCGGACTACAGCTGAATCTTACGAAGACAATGTTTATGAGAAACAGCCTTGTTCCTGACGCTCCATTCGCTCTCAACGGAACCACCATCTCTGAATGCAACAGTTATATATACCTAGGTCGAGAAATCAACATGATGAATGACCTGGCACCTGAGTTGCGCAGGAGGAAGAGAGCGGCTTGGAATGCCTTCAAGAGCATTGAAGAAATAACTAAAAGGACCAAGAACCTCCAGCTACGAACACATCTCTTTGATTCCACTATTCTTCCTGCATTCACATATGCCTCAGAGACCTGGACCCTACGAAAACAGGATGAGAACACCATTTGGGTCTCTCAAAGAGGAATCGAAAGAACTATGCTTGAAATATCACGATTCACTCAATCGTGAGAGATAGAATCCGGAGTTCTGATCTTTGTCAACGCTCAAGAATCAGGGACGCTGTCTCATTTGCCAAGACATCAAAAATCAGATGGGCTGGACACGTAATGAGGTTTACAGACAACCGCTGGACTAGAGCCATTACTGATTGGATTCCACGGGACATCAAAAGATCACGTGGACACCCACCTATAATATGGTCAGACTTCTTCGTCAAGAACCTAAATGATCGGTTTGAGGCTCTGCATGTTCCTAGAACGAACAGATACCATTGGGCTACGCTAGCACGCAACCGGGATGAATGGAGACATTACTGGCACCCGCTCGAATAAATCGATGAATAACGGGGATTAAGTGATTAAGTGATTATATAATCACATTATATATCTTTCAACTAGTGCTTTTGTAACTATTATATACTAGTTATAAATTTATGACAATTTTAGTGATATAATTATTTTATTATAGTTATGAATCCCTGCCTCAGAGTGTGACAGGATTTTCTGATTCAAAATCTTTTAGTCAGAGCTGGGGATATAGCAGTAAAGCCTTAACCCTAGGCTGAATCACTGGAACCATTGAAAAAAATAACTCAGAATCCATAAAAGATTTCTAAATATGACTGTCCTCAGAATAAGTTTTCTATGGCAAAAACACAATGTTAGAGAGAATAAACCAGAAGGAATATTGCAACTTGATTTACAAAGAACTTTCTACAAAGAAGGAAACCAAAAAACCTAGCCATCCACCAGAAAGTGGGGGATGTGGGACAAAGGAGATGAAAAAATAACTCTGGAAAGAGCTCAGATAAACACTAGATCTAGAGCCAGAGATATAGTACAACAGAAAATTTGCGTGCCTTGCACACAGCTGACCTAGCACCACATAGGGTCCCTTGAAACCCTGTCAGGAGTGATTCCCTCAGAGCAGAGCTGGGAGTAAACCCCGAACACTGCCAGGTGTGGCCCCAAAGGAAAAACTCAAAACAAAACTCAACTATATCATTCAGACTGGGAAATCAGAGGGCTGATTAGAGATGGCTAGGTTTGGTAGAGTGTTGCCATTGCTATATAAAGGCATAAAAGGCATACATTTGGACAAAGAAAATAACAAAAGTAGTCACTTGTAAGGGCTGAGTAAGACAGAGAATGGGGTGAATAGATATGGTGAGGACTGAGTTTTTTTCAACAGCTATCTTTTCAGAGTTTTTGAAGTTTGAAATGTGTCACTGTTACCTGTTCAAAAATTAAAACACATGGAAGCTGGAGTAATAGTACAGCAGGTAGAGCACTTGTCTTATGTGTGGCCAATTTGGGTTTGATCTCCAGCACCCCACAAGGTCCCCACGAGTTCCTCTGGGACTGATTTCTGAGCACAGAGCCAGGTGTAAATCTCGAGCACCGCAATATGTGACCCCAAACAGAAAAATACAGTCAGTCACAGTCCTCCCATTGATCATCGATTTTGCTCGAATGGGCCCAGTAACGTCTCCATCGTGAGACTTGATGTTACTGTGTTTGGCATATTGAATACGTCATGGGGAGCTTGCCAGGCTTTGCCATGTGGGCTCGATACTCTCGGTAGCTTGGCAGGCTCTCCGAGAGGGGCGGAGGAATCGAACTCGGGTCGGCCATGTTGGCTGCTTGCAAGGCAAACACCCTACCGCTGTGCTATCACTCCAGCCCAACAGAAAAATAAATAAAAATAAAAACAAATGGTTACCAGACCATGAGAGAGAAGGGATTCAACAGATGTGATGGAAAAACATCATCTTTCAATGTATAATTGTTGCAGATTTTACCTTTTCAAAGTGGTGTGATGTAACTATTAGGTGAAATGTTTATAAAAATTGTGCTGGTATTACAAAAAATAATCCCAGGCTGCATTGATTTTGCAGTAGCAATGATTATATGGTGAAATATGGTACTGGTACTATAAGTTATTGGGATGTAGTGACCTATACATTGAAAAGACAGGAAATTATACCCCTAAGCTGTATACAGTTGTGTAAATTAAGATTTCAATTATTAAAAATTATAATACAATATAAATGAAATCAACTTCCTTGACAAATTAAAAAATTAAGACATTTTAGCTTTCTCATTCCAGTCACGTTCCCCAAGAAACAAGGGTAGAAAACAGCTTAAGGAAATGGATTAAAACCTGAGTCCCTCACAGGTAACTCAGATAAAATGCCTCAATCATAGTGAAACTTGGCTCTCCATTTTCTTTTATTTTTTAATTAGTTCTGATCTTTACAATGTGTTATCACACATGTGTGTGTACATTTCCACGTGCACACACAGAGGACTTGAGATGGATAGACAGGGATCACTTCCAAGCATGTTTTTTTTTTACAAAGTTCAAAATAGATTACATTTATATGCTTTTCAGTTATTACACAATGTACAGACATGATCCATTTAATGATCTATGCTCCCCAAAAGGTTAAACAATGAGGACTTTCTAAGAAAAGGTATACATAAAAGCCTTTGAGTTTAGAAGCAAAATACCATTCCCCACCCAAAATATCTCAGGCATACATTTTGTTTTTGTATATTCCTTGAGACTACTACAGTAGCAGTGCAGAAGGTCTTTCTGTAAAAAGGTCTGGAAGATGATTTGCAAGAGTTTCTGAATGCATTGTGCTCTCAGATAAAAATCTTAAGTCAAAGATTGGTTACTATGACAATAACAGTTAAAACTGCATTATATATATACATATATATACACACACACATGTTAGATATCAGAAGAGGCTATAAAGAAATGTAAATAGTTGTGCTTTGGGTTTTTTTGGTAAAATTGTTTTAATAATACAAACTTAAAAAATGTTTCAGTGACTGATATAAAATAGACACAGATATTAAGAATTTTCTATTCTTGGCTGAGAGTTTAAAGGTGAACAATCAGCTCCACATATTCTACCTGACACCTGGCAATCCTTTTGTGCCTAGTCGCTCAGTCAGGCAGGGGGCTTAGGAAAATGAGTGATTTTTACCCCTCCTATTAGCATAAGATGCTATCTAGAGGTAAAACCAGAGTAAAGCAAATAAGCAAATAACAAATCCTTTATTTCCTTTTGAATTTTTTTGTTCTTTTTGGTTTTGGGGCCTACACCCAGCTGTGATCAAGACTCATTCCTGGTTCTGCACTCAGGGACCACTCCTTGAGGGTCTCAGGTACAAGGGATTGAACCTGGGTAGGCTGTATGCAAGGCAAACACCCTGCTGGTTATACTATCACTCTGGCCCCTCCTTTTGACGTCTTATACCAAATAGGTCACCCAACTTCTAGTAGTTTGTTAGACAAAACCAAACCAAAGATATGTGCCTTGGGTGTCCAGCTCCATTTTGTCATTCATGGGATGAATTGAGAAAGGCCTCTCTTCTGTAAGATTCTAGGATAAACTTGACTCTTCACCATTTTACGTGAAACACATGGACTGGGCAATCTATTTTAGAAATACCATGGCAACCGTCCATTGAGGAGCTGATATAATCTACATAATAACATTGATTATAGTAGGAAAGTAAGTTGATTTTTAGGCTGGTCAGTTTGTTCTTTTAGACCTTTATCTGTAAAGAACATATGACCTTAATGATTCAAGTGAATTAGGAAAGAAGAAGAGAAAATAAATCTTTTTAAGTATTTTGCACAACAGGTTTAGCTAGAAAAAGAATATCTTCAAAGAGTTCCCTAGGCATCCATCACTCAGAAGCATCCTTGCCCTCTGCAAAATCGTGCTTGGAGTCCTCTGAACAAAAATTACAGAGCAATTTAAAATATATATTATGCATTTACAATTATTGTAAATCACTCGATAGTTTGTAGCATGTTAATGGAGTGGAATAGAGATAAAAGGCAGTCCACATTCATATTTTCAGGATAAATTTACTTCAGAAGTCAATTGAATTCCTAGCTCATGTTCTAAGTATGGCCATTGTGATAAGACCTTGAAAGGAAAAAAAAATAGAGAAGTTAGACACATAGAAGTTTTGTAAAATCTGCCATTCAATAACAATTGTTTAGCCCTCAGCGAGCAAAGAAAACAAACACAGCACATCGGCAGACACTCTTCCAAGAATTCAAAGTCAATTTGAATTTAGTTGATATTATACAGAAGAAATCCAATTTACAGCAATGGGCAGTCACTGGGTAGATTTAATTAAATCACTAATGTCTGGCCACAGCTAATTTTTTAACTATCAAATATACCTCCCACTTTAACCAGTCACATCAGCTATAATAATAACAGACATGCCATTTTCAAGTGTCAGGAAAGACAGCCAACTCCATCAACAAAAACATTGCAAGCCTATTTGTATCCCAGGCCCTTCGATCACAAGGAGAATGAAGATGGTATTCCTGTTTGACGTGTCTCTTTTGAAGACTCATACACATAGAACCATTAAACCATCATAATAATTAGAATGTGTTCTGCCCTAAATGAGTGGCTAAGGAAAAAATGATCAAGTACAGAGAAGGAGAATAGTCACGTAGGACTGAGACAGTTAGAAACAGTGCCCGCCACAAAAGGTAAAGCTGAGATAAACACAAAAGACAAGAAGGAAAATGAACAATGGCATGGGCCAGCTTTTTTGGTGAAGGAATGGCAAGAGTGTAGACTTGAGGGTAGGACCAGGACTCAAGATTTTCAGGGACCTAGAAAGAATCTAACTGGCTTTAAGCAAAACTTCAGGTAGGAAAGGAACTAGAACCACATTAGCTTAGAGGTCTCAGAGTTGGATGACTTAATGGCAAGTTATGGTATTATTATACTTCACCCAACAAAGTATGGAGAGCCATCAAACGGGTTTTGATAGGAACTGGTGAGAAAATTGTAAATCCTAGAGACAATGAAAGTCCCTCTGACAGCAGTGTAATGGATGGTTTTGGGGAGGAAATGGTATGAGAAATAGCAGAAACAGGGCAAACATTTAGAAGTCAATTTAACACTAAAGGGTATATCAGGGAATGCTACTGAGAATTGATAATCTAAGAAGAGGTGAAAGAGACTAAGAGGAAAGTTATTCATCATCAGAACAAGAGCCAAGTGACCTTTGACACAGAGTAGGTCCCGAATAGATGTTCTGTTGTGACTATAGGATTTCAAACCCAAATGAATGGAAGAAACTGCTTTAAAAAAAAGGAATTTACATTAGAGAAGGCTATGTTGCTCATCTGTATTACTTCAGGGACTTGGTTCTTCTAGGAGCAGTTCTTAGAAGTAGAAACATTGTATCACAAAACAAATATTTGATACATTTTATGCCATTGCAAACTGGAAAGAAAATAACTGGCTACATATAAGGTACTAGATAAATCAACTGAAAAAAAAATAAATATAAACTCCCTAAGTCTGAAGATACACCTTACCTCAAGGAACTTTTGATGCCATCTTTGATCTTTTTCCTAAAACAAATCCAAACACTCCCCCAGAATCACAGACACAGGGATGCTACCGACCATCTCAAAGCCAGGAAAAAAAAATTACCAATACGCATGTCCCCGATGCGTCCTGGAAAAACTTACCTAGAATATAAGCAGCCACTAATTTTTGATTCACACTTAAGTGGAGGTAGAGAGGCACCAGCGATTCCACATCCCCCAGCGTAGGAAGCATTAGAGCTGCAATGCATACCACTCCCAAGAAGACAGTAAGTAAGCTAGGTCCTGAGGAGACAGTTTTGTTTTCTGTAAAAAGACAAAAACCCTGAGTGTGCATCTAGAAATGAATGAAGACAGTGGATAAAGTGGAGGTACAGATATGTTTAACATAAAACAAATGGAATTTTAGCACAGTGGTAGGGCGTTTGCCTTGCACGCAGCCAACATGGCCGACCCGAGTTCGATTCCTCCGCCCCTCTCGAAGAGCCTGGCAAGCTACCGAGAGTATCTCGCCCACACAGCAGAGCCTGGCAAGCTCCCCGTGACGTATTCGATATGCCAAACACAGTAACAACAAAGTCTCCAATGGAGACATTACTGGGCCCGCTCGAGCAAATCGATGAACAACGGGAGGACCGTGACTGTGACCGTTTTTTTTTTTTCCTTTTTGGGTCACACCCGGCCATGCACAGGGGTTACTCCTGGCTCATGCACTCAGGAATTACTCCTGGCAGTGCTCGGGGGACCATCTGGCATGCTGGAAATTGAACCCGGGTCAGCCACGTGCAAGGCAAATGCCCTATCCTCTGTGCTATCGCTCTAGCCCCCAAATGGAATTTTTTTAAATGATGGGCTGAAATATAGAAAAGCCGAGGTTTTGCTCTTTCCTTCTCATACCCTGGTGGAGAGCTTGCATGTCCCTCCATTTCAGTAACGGCTCCACTGGAGAACCTTAGCTTGACACCCCCCCCCCCCCCCCCCAGTTTTCATCCTTATCAACGCAACACCCTGCTACCATTTCTGAAAATGTTAGGACATCACAAAGACACCGAAGCTGTCAAAAGCTGCCTATGAAGGGGGTTGGATAGATAGTAGAGTGGGAAAAGTGTGTGTTTTGCATGTGGTTCGAATCCCCAGCACCAGATATGGTACTCTGAGCACCACCAGGAATGATCCCAGGTAGGTAAAATAGAGAAGGAACGAGTATGACAATAGCAGCTGGAAATTATCGTGCTTTAAAAGAACTGTGTGCTGAAAGGAGATAAAGGGATACACCTGATAACCTTTCGGTATCTGTACTGCAAACTACAATGCCCAAAAGGAAAGAGAGAGGGAGTGAGGGAGGAAGGGAGGGTGGGAGAGAAGGAGAGAGAGAGAAGGAGAGAGAGAAAACTGTCTGCTATAGAGACAGGCAGGGGGGGTGGAGGGTGATGGGAAGGAAACTGGGGACACTGGTGCTGGGAAATGTACACTGGTGGAGGGATGGTGTTGCAACACTGTATGACTGAAACCTAATCATGAACAGCCTTGTAAGGGTCTCTCTCACAGTGATTTAATAAAAAAATGTTTAAGGAATAATCACCTATGAAAATTCTTGCTATTCTACCGCTCTTAACTTTTTAAAGTTCTGCTTCTTTACTTTGGCATTGGGGGTACGCCTGGTTGTGCTCAGGGAATCACATTGCAGTGCCAGAAACTGAACCCAGGTTGGCTTCATACAAAGTTCATTAACCCCTGTACTAGCCCTTTGATCCCATGTTTGACTACCTTATTTTGAACAATGAAGTGAAAAAAGCAGAAGAAACAGTATCTGGTGAATATGATCATAAATGAAATAAACTCATCACAGAAGGACACATGCCATCTGATTCTACTTATAAGACTTAACTAAACCAGACAAACGCATGGAATTAGGAGCACAACGATGGCTACGGGGTAGGCAGTGAATGGAATTTCCTAATTGCTGGGCAGAGATTCTCAATTATGCTAGATGAGTATGTTCCAGAGATCTGCTAAGGCATTTGCACATAGTTAAAAACACAATTCTGGGGGCTGGAGCAGGTAGGGTGCTTGCCTTGAGTGCAGCACACCTGGGTTCGATTCGCAGAACCCCACATTGCCCCCTGAGCACCACCAGGAGTTAATTCCTGAGCACAGAGCCAAGAGTAGCCCCTGAGCATTGCCAGGTGTGGTCCAAAAATCAAAAACAAGTAAATAAAACACAATTGTGCACTTGAAATTTTGTAAAGAGGGTAACATCATGTCAAGTGTTCTTACTCCAATGAAATAAAATTTAAAAAAACACTGGCTTTAAAAAAAAATGTCAAGAGCTAGAAGGCCAGCTCTCTCACAGTTGTGGCTGCATTTGTACAAAAGTCACACTCCTGTTTTTAAGAAACCAAATAACATCATTTTCTGTCATATGGCTTTTCCTACTACCATTCCTTTCATTACAAGGAATAGCCAACAGCAACACAATCTTTGTGTTTTATTAATGAAATAACAGAGTTCATTTTATTACTAACTGCAGCTTTTCTAAATTATTAATACCTTCGCTGTTGTGTGAAGTTAATTGAGCCTTGCCAAAGCCAGATAGGTAACAACAAATTCAAATTTTATAATTATTTTTGGAGATGAACTAGCGTAAATAGCTCCAAACAAGTCTTCTCTTAGTTACCAAATGAAGGAACTTTATATAAAAATAAGCTTTCTGGAAAAATCATTTACGATAATTATATCTTTCACTACACACCCACAATATAATTCCATAATTTACAGAATCCCTCCCCTAATTTTTCATGCATAATTGAAGTGTATTGCTGTGGGGTATCAGAGACTGAATCTATGTGGCCTCATATATGCAAGGCAAGTATTCTGCCACTGAGCTACATGCCTGGCCCTTGACATTTTTTTTAACTGGAACTTGCTATTTTTGTGATACTGGAAGATTCCTGTAAATATTTCAGAGATCTAGAAAGGAGAAACTTTCTTATTAAAAATACTTCATTTTGTTTTTTAAGGAGGCCACACCCAGCTATGCTCAGGGGTTAATTCCTGGTTCTACATTCAGGAATTACTCCTGGAAGTATATGGGGGACTGTATGAGATACTGAGGATTCAATTCCAGTTGGTCACATGCAAGACAAATGCCCTACCCCCTGTACTATCACTCCAGCCCCAATAGCACAGTGGGTAGGGCGTTTGCCTTGCACACGGCCGACCCAGGTTCAATTCCTCTGTCCCTCTTGGAGAGCCTGGCAAGCTACAGAGAGTATCCCGTGCGTATGGCAGAGCCTGGCAAGCTCCCCGTGGCATATTCGATATGCCAAAAACAGTAACAACTAGTTTCACAATGGAGACATTACTGGTGCCCGCTTGAGCAAGTTGATGAACAATAGGACAGTTCTACAGTGCTATATATAATTCCATCCCTACAGAAATAACACTGTTAACAGCTTGTATAGATTCTTTCAGATTTTATAAATGCCCATATAAATATTTTATAACAAAATTTTTACATAAATAAGGCCATATTATATAGTTCTACAACTTTTATCCCAGGAATATATTTGAACAAATTTTTAAAGTCAATATGTAATCATCCGTCATTATATCATATCCTTATAAATTGAATGTCAGGCTGACATCCCTTTTGATGAATATTCATGATTTAAGCAATCCCCAGTTGATGGACTTTTAGGTCATTTTCAGTTTTTTTGCTATTATGTACAATAATAAAGAACATAATTTTCTTAAGCCAGAGGGCACTGACTCCAACACTGCATACACATAGGGGTTCATCAGTAATGTAATTAAGACAACTCCACTAAGATTCAGCTGCACCTTTTCAAAACATCTAATAACGAACAACAGGGCGTTGGTATTTCACAAAAGCATGCCTTATTGCTTTCCCTTAAATTCTGTTAAAAACAGAATTGCATGTATGTACCTAAACAAGGTCTAAACAGATCTGTTCAATGTGCTAGATGATAGGTGCTGTTTTCTTTCTGGAATTTATTACTGCTTGATGCTTTTTTATATAGTAAAGCTGAGAAGAAATTTCTCATTTTTACTGCCATTCAATGCATTTTAAAATCCAAATATTTCAGGATCCTCTTCAACTATTTTCCAGCTAACTCAGAGCCTCACAACACGGCTGGGTTTGTACTATGTCCAATACACATTCTCTAAACTAAAAATATGCAAAAATAATGCCACTTTCAAACTTCCCAGAAAAGTCTTGGGGCCAGAGTTATAGTACATTGGGTAAGGCAATTTGCCTTGCACACAGTCAATCCACATTCATTCCCTGGCATCCCACGTGGTTCCATGAGCCCTGCCAGTAGTGATTCCTGAGTGCAGAGGCAGCAGTAATCCCTGAGCACTGCCACGTGTGGTCCGCTCCCCCCACTCCCATAAAAGAAAATAGTCCCAAATGTTTTCAACATTTTAGTTCAGAGAAACTTAACAGCAAAAGCCTTAGAATTCTTCATACTGGAAGTCACATGCAATTTACTATTAACTGAATAAACATAAATAAAAAACATCACTATGCTGGGGACTGGAAAGATAGTACAGAGGGTACGGTGTTTGCCTTGAAAGCAGCCAACCTGAGTTGAACCCTCAGCAATCCATATCCCATTTGGTCCCATGAACCCTGTCAGGAGTGATCCCTGAGCACAGGAGTCAGGAGTAAGCATGAGCACCACTGGGTGTGGCCCCAAAACCAATATATATATAATATGCATCACTTTGTCAATAGGGACTAAATCAGTCACCATTATATTAAATTAAAGAAGAAATCGTTACTCAATTTCTTGACATATTTATAAAACTATCTTGGGGTAGATACCCATTTCCGGTCAGGACTCTGGATGCTCTGCTGTGCCAGAGTCCTTACACTAGGATGGTAATAGCCATGAAAACCTTGTAAGTCAAAGGAAATCAATCCAGCAGACCCTAGAAGATGAGAAGCTCATCACACTTAGGGCAGCACAAGCATACTTTCCTGTGTAAATAATTCACCAGGTGCCCAGAACATAAAGGTAAACACCCCATAGAATGTGACTTCCCTTGCTGAGCTTACTAACATGAATGATTCATCTAGTTGGGATGAAAATCATTTTATCAAGGCAAGAGACCCCACCATGGATTATGCTAATATGACTTAGCTTCATTCATCTACCTGCTCCAATTTTACAATTAGATGGATTCTCTAATATACTTTGGATACCAAAGCTAAGGTTAATTATGGAAATAAGAAAAATTGGGGCTGGAGTTAGAGTAGAGTGGGTAGGGTGCTTGCCTTGCACGTGGCCAAACTAGATTCGATCCCTGGCATCACATATGGTCCCCAGAGCCCCCTAGGAGTAATCTCTGAGAGCAGAGCCAGAAGTAAACTCTAAGCACTGCTGAGTATGGGTCAAAATAAAAAAAAAAGGGAAAACTGCTCAACTAATACAGTGCTGTTATTTAGTCTTTTAGGAAAATTTTTACCAATAAGTGAAAAATTAAGTTTATTTTTTTTGTTTGGGCTTTTGGGCCATACCCAGTACTGGTCAGGGCTTACTACCAGCTCAGTGCTTGGGGGCTGCTCCTGGTGACGCTGAGGGATCATGTGGTGCTGGGAACCAAACTTGGTCTGTTGGGCTATCTTGTCAGCCAACCTGTTTTGTTTTAAAATTTATTAGAGGGGCCAGAGCGATAGTACAGCAGGTAGGGCGTTTGCTTTGCATGCAGCCGACTTGGGTTCGATACCCGGTGTCCCATATGGTCCCCCAAGCACCTCCAGGAGTAATTCCTGAGTTCAGAGCCAAAAGTAACCTCTGAGCATCACTGGGTGTGACCCAAAAAGCAAAAATAAAATTTATTAGAGCCTGGAGAGATAGCTTTACAGGTCGAGCATATACTTTGCATGCAGGAGGCATGGGTTCAATCCCTGACACTTCATGGTGCCCTGAGCAACACAGAGGGCAATCCTGGAGCACTGTGTTGGGAGTAGCCCTGAGTACTGTCCGGTGTGACCCCAAAAAACAAAACTGAAAAATAAAAGGAGCTGGAGAGATGACACGAAGGTCAGAGCACAGGCCTTGATGTAGAGGCTCCAGGTTCTGGTACCACATGGCACAACCCATCCCCAGAAGCCCTCATGGACCTCAGCTCCAAAAGCTGGAGAATAACATTATAGGGACAATAACTGAAACTTCAGGCAAGAATTGCCTGGAGTGGCCCGAGGCTCCTTGAGCATTGCTTGGGAATCCCTGCCCTTCTAACCAAAGAAAAGAAGAAATGGACGATTCTTGAAAAATTAGAAATTGAGCTCCTGTTTGACCCAACAATACCATTCCTGGGAATATATCCCGGGGAGGCAAAAAAGTACAGTCGAAATGACATCTGCACTTCTATGTTCATCGCTGCACTGTTCACAATAGCCAAAATTTGGAAAAAACCCGAGTGCCCGAGAACAGATGACTGGTTAAAGAAACTTTGGTACATCTACACAAAGGAGTACGATGTTAGAAAAGATGTAGTCATGAAATTTACATACAAGTGGTTCTACATGAAAAGTATCATGCTAAGTGAAATGAGCCAGAAAGAGAGGGACAGACATAGAAAAACTGCACTCATCTGGGGAATATATAGTAACGGAATGGGAATCAAACACCCAAGAATAGTTGAGATAAGTACCAGGAGGTCTGCTCCACGTCTTGGAAGCCAGCAGCACATGCTGGGGAAAAAGGCAGCTCAGATAGAGAAGGGAACACCACGTAAAGGATGTTTGGAGGACTTGCTCGGAATGCGAGATGCGTGCTGAAAGGAGACTATAGACTGAACACTATGGTTACTCAATACTTCTATTGCAAACTACAACACCGTAAAGGAAACAAAGAACAAAAGGGAATGCCCTGCCACAGAGGCGGGGTGGGGTGGGGGGATGGGCTGGGGAGGTGGGAGGGCTACTGGGATCATTGGTGGTGGAGAATGAGCACTGGAGGAGGGATGGGTACTCAATCATTGTATAATTGAAACCCCAGCAAGAAAGTTTGTAAGTCTACAACTGTACCTCATGGTGTTTCACTAAAAAAAAATTAAACAATCTCCAAATACCCCAAAAATAATAATAAAGTAAATAGGAAAAAAAATTAAAGAAGGATATAACTAAACTTTTACTCATTATTATTGGCTATTTAATTATTACAGAAATGACATTTTAAATTGTAGATTTAGAATAAAAGTATTTTTTATTTGGGGGCCACACCTGGCTATGTTCAGAGTTTACTCCTGGCTCTATGGTCAGGAATCACATGATGGTGCTTGGAGAACAAAAATGCAGTGACAGGGATCGAATGTGGGTTGACTTGTAGGTTGGCTTCCAGTCCCTGGAAATGTTTCAATGGCCTTGATTATTCTAGAGGAGGCATATTTGTTTTATTTTTTTATTATTTTGGTTTTTTGTGGGGGTGACCACACCTGGTGGTCCTCCGGGACTGCTCCTGACAGACTTGATGGGTCATATGGGGAGCCAGGGATCGAACCTGGATCAGCTGTGTGCAAGGCAAACACCTTGCCCACTGTGGTATTGCTCTACCCCACAGAGGAGGCACTATTTTTTTTATTTTGTATTTACTTTTTAATTGGATCACAGTGAGATACAGTTACAAAGTTGTTTATGATTGGGTTTCAGTCATATGTGTTCCCTTCACCAGTGTACATTTCCTACCACCAATGTCCCCAGTTTCTCTCTGCGCCTTCCCCCAACCCCCAAGAGGAAGCTTTTTTTTTTTGGTGTTTGGGTCACACCCAGCGATGCTCAGGGGTTACTCCTGGCTCTGCACTCAGCTCCTGGAAGTGCTTGGGGGACCATATGGGATGCCAGGAATTGAACCCAGGTCAGCTGTGTGCAAGGCAAATGCCCTAGCCACTGTACTATTGCTCCAGCCCTAAGAGGAGGCTTTTTTTTGCTTTTTTGGGTCACACCTGGCGATGCACAGGGGTTACTCCTGGCTCTGTGCTCAGGGGACCATATGGGATGCTGGGAATCGAACCCTGGTCGGCCGCATGCAAGGCAAACGCCCTACCTGCTGTGCTATCTCTCCAGTCCCAAGAGGAGGCATTTTTAAAGGGGAATGTAGGGGCCAGGGAGAAATAGAAGTGGTAGAGCGCATGCCTAGAATGTGCTTTGCCCCGATCTCTATCTTCGGCACTGCAAGCCCCCCCCCCCCCCTCAGTATCACTGGACACAGCCTCTATTTAACAAATCCAGGCTGGAAAGACAGCTCAATGGGCTGAGCATGTGCTTTGTATGTAGGTGGCCCAGGTTCAAGGCCCAGGTTCAATCTTCTGCACTGCATAGTCCCTTGAGCACCACTGGGTATGGCCCACAATGTCAAAAAAATTAAAAACAGACAGACAAATTTTTTTTCATCTGGGGAAAGAGAGCTTACAGGACTAGCATGCTGCCTGGTTCTAGCAGCATGATGTCCCACGTTGGATCCCTGGTGGTCCCCAACACTGTTCAGCTTGGCAACTGCCAAGTGAGTATCCTCCTCCCCCAGGCTTCAAGCACCATTGGGGAGCCCCCGACCAAATAGCAGAAAAGGAAAATGTTTACAAGTGAACTTCACCCTATTCATCAGACATCAAAGTGATATTTGATGAGGTTCTCTTTTAGCTTCAAAGAATGGAAAGCACTATCTGTTAATAATAGTTGCCAAGGAGAAAATCGTGGCTCTCCCAGCCACTGACTACTCTCTAGTCTTGGTATCCAGCAGAAAATCTGGGCACTCTTCCTACATGAACTGGGAAAACTCTTGGTTCTAGTAAATCAAAGAGGCATTACTTCCTGTCTTATCGAAGTCAACATTCTAACGTGAACACATGGACAGGGATGTATGAATTAATGCAATGATAAGGAGATTTATTTTAATCCCTCACATAGAATGTTGCACTTTCAAGGGCAGCTATCACATTAATATATCATGATCCAAAAGTTTCCAGACTTTTTCTAGGGAAAAATTTTTATCTACTTTCTCTTATCACAGGGTTGGTGGGAGATAATGAGAAGCTAAGAGGGAGGGGGACTGATATCCAAAGAAAGAGCTGAATATGAGGAGAGTGTCAATGTTGAAAGAGTATATCATAACACTTCTGAATATCTAAGCTGGAAGGAAATGAGGAATGGAGAGGGATTCAATTAATAGCCCACAGGGGATATTATAATCTACTTAGTTTAATTAACTTCAACTTTAATGAGATTTTTTTTTTCAAAATAATATGAACAGTGCACCAGGCTTGGCCAATTGCCAAACACAATCTCTCCCCTTCTTCGAACTAATTAAATGAGAAAGGATATAGGAAAGTCACAGAACAAAAGTATATAATTGCCAAATTGTACTAGCATTAGAAAGTGCAGTGCCTACATTCTCGGGGTTTAGATATTTCAAAGGTTATGGCAACATCTGTTTCCTCCTTCCATGCAGCCTCCTCCGGGGAGTCCAGAGCTCTAGACCTCTTGCTGCGTATTAGGGGCCAGATCTCTGGGTTTGCTTGTGAAGTAATTGTTTAGGTTTAAAGTGGCAGATTATTTCACTAGTCATTACTCTTAGTTCCTTGATTATCTGGCTATTTTAAAGTTAGACACATGTAACCCCCTCAAAAGGTCTAATAAATGAAACAGACAAAAAAACAATCAACCCCAAAATACCTGGTTGAAATGACTGCTCAAAAAATAAACTTTCGGTTAAATGTTCCTTGATTCGTTTTTCCCCTTCTTCCTTTTGTTGTTCTTTTGCAGATGGTAGAAGAGTAGCTACAACTTCTTTCCTTCCTAATGACTTCCTCTGGCTTTGCTCAGAAACTTGGAGGCGGAACTTGTCTATTACACCATAGTGACAGGATCGAACATCTTTATGACGAATCACACTGAAAGGGTGTTTAGAAAAAGACAAATGCTGTTTAGATTCCCGAAGCCTGCCAAATAGAATTCATCAAGAGAATCATACCATAAGAATTTTAAAGTGACTGAATTAAATATTCAAATATAGACATTTACTAATGACATTTAAAAAACTTTGTGTAGTCCAAAAAGAAATGGGGATTCATACTCTCAAACTTAAGACTAAAAGTCTTTAGTAAAAGAAAAATAGGCCAAGAAAATTCCTTTTAGGGGCTGGAGCAATAGTATAGCAGGTGGGGTGCTTTCCTTACATGCAGCTGACCTGGGTTTGATGCAAGACACCCCAATATGGTCGCCCAAACTTGCCAGGAGTGATCCCTGAGTGCAGAGCCAGGAATAAGCCCTGAGCACTGCCAGGTGTGACCCAAAAACCAAAAAAAAAAAGAAAGAAAATTCCTTTTAGTAATGACATTTTCCCCTAGGTAGCTGAGTGTAACAATATTTACTAAGATATATAAAATCATTTCTTTCCCCAAAAGAAGCTTCATAAATTCCCATTGCCACTTCCTTTTCCCATTGCCACAGATTATTCTTTAAATAACAGACCTCAGGGCTGGAGTGATAGCACAGTGGGTAGGGCATTTGCCTTGCACGTGGTGGACCTGGGTTCAATTCCCAGCACCCCATATGGTTCCCTGAGCACTGCCAGGGGTAATTCCTGAGTGCAGAGCCAGGAGTAACCCCTGTGCATCGCTGGGTGTGACCCAAACAGCAAAAAATAAATAAATAACTAATAACAGACCTCACCCTAGACTTAAAATTGAAGTCTATGCAGAAAAGTTAAAGTAAGCAACTGAATAAATAATCCAGTATGAGCAATGCAAGAAATACACTTCTGTATTTCTCTAGAGGATAAAGCAATATAATTTGTATCAGACAGCTGCAATTCCCTTTCACCCTTGTTTTTCACAGAGAACACAAAACAATTAGTTCAAAGTCACCCATTTACCTGCAAAGAAACTCTATTTCTTATGACTAGTTCTTGCTTGGGTTGGATCAATAGCACAGCGGGTAGGGCATTTGCCTTGCACGCAGCAGACCCAGGTTTGGTTCCTCCTCCCCTCTCGGAGAGCCCGGCAAGCTACCCAGAGTATCTCGCCTTCACGGCAAAGCCTGGCAAGCTACCCGTGACGTATTCTATATGCCAAACACAGTAACAACAAAGTCTCACAGTTTGTTGTGAGACATTACTGGTGCCCGCTCAAGCAAAACGATGAACAACGGGAGGACAGTGCTATAGTCCTTGCTTACTTTATACTGAATGAAAATCAAAAGGAATGTGTAAAAACACATCCTCAAAGATATATCACGTGTGGCTTTGAGATGAAAATATGTTCCTGGGGTGGAGGGGTGATGGGAGGGAAACTGAGGACACTGGTACTGGGAAATATACACTGTTGGAGGGATGAATATTGGAACACTGTATGACTGAAACCTAATCATGAACAGCTTTGTAATGCTCTATGTCACAGTGATTCGATAATAAAATCTTTTAAAAATGAAGAAATACTTCAGACTCACAAAACAAAAAGAAAATATATTACTAAGAATAGACATCTTATTGTCACAGGAGAGTTAAACTAACACAGTTCACTTCAGAGCTTAAATTAAGGACTGGTCAATGAATCCATCTGGTCACCTCTAGTTCTAAAGTGAAAATTAAATAGGAACAGCTTGAACAAACAATCATTTATCTGATACTCTTTAAGATGAAATTATCTGGAAGAGCTCTGATAACCTTTTACAGATGAGCAGTTACACACTTGCTTCCTGTTTGTATAGATTAACTTCCACGTTTATTAGCTGAAACATTTCAGATGAATTCGTGTAACCACTGTACTTGGAGTGCAGTATTATTAGCTTTACAGATGTCACTCTAATGGCAGAAAGTTTAAAAAAAAAGCTAAATTCTCTCCCATAGCTAGAAAACTTTAAAGAAAAGTTAGAACTTTATATTCTCAACTCTCCCTGCTATGACTGAAGGCACAACAATGCTGAAGTGTTTATAAAATCTGTCACTGTCATTGTCCTCCAGTTGTTCATCGATTTGCTCAAATGGGCACCAGTAACATCTCCATTGTGAGACTTGTTACTATTTTTTGGCATATCAAATACGCCACAGGGAGCTTGCCAGGCTCTGCCGTGCAGGCGGATAATCTCGGTAGCATGCCGGGTTCTCTTGAGAGAGATGGAGGAATCGAACCCGGGTTGGCCACATGCCAGGCAAAAGCCCTACCAGTTGTAGGAACACATATTGGCACCAGTGTAATGAAATATCATTAGGTATCTGGTTGACCTGCTTAGAATCTCTCACAAATATCCTCATAGTCTTAAACTCTCAGCAAAAATAAAAATGCACAGCAAGGCAGGAGAGATAGCTTAAAGGGAGGTCTGGGTTCCACGCCCCAGCACTGCATGGTTTTCAGAGTGCCTCCAGGTGTGACCCCCATGCCCCACCAAAAAATAAAATAAAATCACAGTAAATGCCAATGGAGGAAGGACCTTGAGCAAAGATCATTTTCAAGTTAAATACACAAATATTAACACATTTAAAACCATGTTACCGAGAAGTGATTTTGACTTACATATCCATACAACACTGAGGCTTTACTGCACCAGCAGCATCTACGACAACATACTTATTTGGAGTAGTACACAAAACTGAAAGAAAAAGTCACAACAGCCATTAGTGTTTTTTTTTAAAAAAACATTCATTTCTAAAAGTTAAAAATTAGTAGGGACTAGTTAAAAAGCCACAACATAGCTTAGGAAACTCACCTTTGAACTTTAAGGCAAACTCATAGGGATTATACAGAGTCAACACTTGCTTATGTGTTGACTGGTCATCTGCATAAAATATTAGCTCCGTGGGAAACACAAAAACAGGAAGATTTCCTTCCACTAACTCTGACTGTCTTTTTTGTTGATGCATTGGCACTGAATCCCCCTTGCTGCAGCTTGTTTATACCGTCTCAACGCTATTTTGGACTTTCCTTAAAAGTCAGTTAAAAACTCCAAAGCATTTTGGCATTCTAGAAAAAGAAGAGAGAAAGAAAGTTGAATGATACCAGTTTTCATTAGCTATGCTTTGCTTGCATTAAAATACATTTCCAAATCATTTCAACGTACCTTCTGCCTTTTCCCTTCACCTTCTTATATATATAGCTTTTACCAAATTATGCACCAACAGGTACACATGCTCCTTTTAATCAAGATCTCAACCTCTGAAACATTACATAAATACTTACATAAGGGAATAAAGAAGCCACTTCGTTGCAAATTAGTAACCACCCCCCTGCACAGACATGAGGCAAAAGGACATCAATCTTTTAAGTCTCATATTTTCCTTTAAAAAAAAGTATTGTCACAACTGATTTTATATGAGCCAATGAGAATTCTTTAAGACAAAAAAGGAGTAAGTCTCCATGACTTATAGGAGACCATTGGAATACATTTCAACAATGAGTATAGTTATTGCCCTTTGGTCGCATGCGTGGGTCAATTAATCTTTTTCTACTGAAACTCAAGGCAAGTAAAACCGTCTTGAAAGGAAGTTGAATATCCAAACTCACTTAAGTAGTCAAGTTTTCTACGAAAATTCAAAGTCAGAAGTAGGCTTTGGCATTCTGGTGGCAACATGCCTCCCCTCCTACTTCAAGTACACAGAGTTATTTTCTTCCAACTTGAGAGACCTTTTTTGTATTCCTTCTGGGGTTTGTGAATATGTTCCAGATAGTTGTAGCTGGCAGAAGTCTGACTGTCTGATAAGTGTGATGTTTCTGTATTTATTTCCTAATCTAATTTTAATCCACAACACTCTTATTTAGCTAGCACCCGAAGTGTGGCTTTTAAAAATAAAATGCAAAAGCGAACACATACAATCACAGAAAATGGATGATTTTCACCTTGTAGATCACACTTTGAAAATAGGCCATAGATGACTTAATACTTTGTATTTGGTTCTCATACATTAAAAAATATATAAAAATGATGAAATCTTTTGGTTTTTACCCACAAATGTGCTCAAGAGCTGTAAGTCTGATTGAGGCATCTCCATTTTTAATCAAATAGGGTCTTGTATAATTTTATCAGGATTTTGTTTATTCATTTCTGCCCATTGAATGCCCATTTTAGGCTAAGAATTATCAGAAGCTGATCAGAGGTATACAGATGAATAATACACGGGCCCTGCCCTCAAGAAACTTAATTTTTGTTGTTGTTGTTTTTTGGGTCACATCCAGTCATGCACAGGGGTTAATCCTGGCTCATGCACTCAGGAATTACTCCTAGCAGTGCTCGGGGGACCATCTGGGATGCTGGGGATCAAACCTGGGTCGGCCGCTTGCAAGGCAACCACCCTACCCGCTGTACTATCGCTGCAGCCCCTTAATTCTAATTTTTGAGATAAAATATTTAAGCTACCTCTAATATAATGCATACTTTATATAAAGTAGTAAGGAATTAGAGGACGACTTGAATAATTCTGCCTGAAAGAGAGGCCTGAGATGATATTTGTGGTCTTAGACCACAAATATCAAGAAAGGTCACCCCTCTGTGCTGAGAATGGGACAGGGGTGAGAGAGCAAGGAAGGGCATTCAGAACCAGAGAAAGGGAAATTGGGGGGAGTTAGTAGCCCAAAGACTGTCCCAGACTATCTTCCTATTCTGTATCTGAAGGAGGAATTTGGAGGGCAGTGGGAACTTTCTTGTGCTCTGGTGTCTTGCTCTTGGTTGGCCTAATAATAAACCAATATAACAAAGATTAGGAAAAGAAAAGACTAACCTTAATTATATTTACACAAGGGCCCACAGGATATGACCTCTTCACCTGGCTATTCCAGGGAAGTTATACAGTTTATGAAAGGGCAAGGCTAATTGGGAAGAAAAGACAGATCTACAGAAACTGGAATTTAAAGAAAGGCATTTGGCAGGGTTATTTACATATGCTTTGAAAACAGATCTTGTAAACTCTAGTCTGGGGTGACAAAGCTGTCTGTCTCTCACCTCCAGGACCTCCCACAGAGAAGATTTATTTCCTGTTTTTAGAGAGATAGATAATTAGGCAAAACATCATTCTTGGATCTTCTCCCAATTTCTTTTCATTTAAAAGTTTCAGCAAGTCACTCTGGTACATCCTGGGGCAGCTGGTCCTGGTTAAATTCTCTAACCATGTGGGTCCTGGTTAAATTCTCTAATCATGTGGGGCTGGAGCAATAGCACAGTGGGTAGGGCATTTGCCTTGCACGCGGCCAGCCCGGGTTCGATTCCCAGCATCCCATATGGTGCCCTGAGCACCGCCAGGAGTAATTCCTAAGTGCATGAGCCAGGAGTAACCCCTGTGCCACACCAGGTATGACCCAAAACGCAAAAAAAGAAAAAAATTCTCTAACCATGCATGTAGCTCATAATGGTGTTGGATTTGTGTTGGAAATCCATCGGTAAGAATATCTAACGGTTGTATAATTCATAACAGGTTCACTGTCACTGTCACTGTCCTCCTGTTGTTCATCAATTTGCTCAAGCGGGCCCAGTAACGTCTCCAGTGTGAAACTTGTTGTTACTGTTTTTGGCATATCGAACACATCACTGGTAGCTTGCCAGCCTTTGCCATGCGGGCGAGATACTCCTGGTAGCTTGCTGGGCTCTCCGACAGGGAAGGAGGAATCGAATCTGGGTGGGCCGGGTCGGCCACGTGCAAGGCAAACGCCCTTGCCCTACCCACTGTATAACAGGTTACAATTTTTAATTATTTATATACACACTAATGTTTAAGTGTAGGGCTGGAGCGATAGCACAGCGGTAGGGCGTTTGCCCTGCACGCAGCCAACATGGCCGACCCGAGTTCGATTCCTCCGCCCCTCTTGGAGAGCCCAGCAAGCTACCGAGAGTATCTCGCCCGCACGGCAGAGCCTGGCAAGCTACCCGTGATGTATTCGATATGCCAAACACAGTAACAACAAAGTCTCCAATGGAGACGTTACTGGGCCCGCTCAAGCAAGTCGATGAACAACAGGAGGACAGTGACAGTGAATGTATAAGTAATATATATTAAACATACTGAGCGTGTTGACATATGTAAAGCTCATAACACTTACCGTCAGGTGATGTTTTAAGTGTTGGTTACCATTATTATCGTTTGGAAAAGAACCAGAGTGAGGCCCAAAATATGTCAACAGGCCACCTGCTGCCTAGTCTAGTATTCTTTCCACTATATTAAAATAACTATGAGCTTCAATAAACCAAACCTAAGATTTTTCAGAAAAGTACCTGATTAAGGAGAGACAGTACAGGGGTAAGGCTTTTGCCTTGTACTTGACAGACCCTGGCTCAATCTCCAGCACCACACATAATCCCCTGATTAGCATCAGCACAGACCTCCTAGCATTGAACCAGGACTGAGCCCTAGGCACTGCCAAGGTATGCCCCAAAACAAACAAACAAACAAAACCCAACACCTTACCTGATTAACCTGAGTGAGTCATACATATTTGTTTGGATAATCTGCTCTCAGAAGTCTGTCATGTTTGTTGCTTTTATTTTTTAAGAAAAATAAGCTCTACCAATAGTACAGCAGGTAGGTGGGTTCAATCCCTGGCATCCCATATGGTCCCCCATGCACGCCAGGAGTAATTCCTGTGTGCAGAGCCAGGAGTAACCTCTGAGCATCGCTGGGTGTGACCCAAAAAGCAAAAAAAAAAAAAAAAGAAAAGCTCTATAATCACTTTCCTAAGAAACTTCAGTATGAGGAATATAACACCCAAATTTGGTTTCATTAAATAATATTCACCAATCACTCTAAAACTCTGAATGAGAACTTAGCTCATGATAAAAAAAAGTGGCAACTTTGATTTCTGGAATATTAGTCAGGAAAAATTAGTAAAACCAGGTTTTCATCTTAAAAAAAGGATGACTTTATCCTTTGCTCCTTATAAAACTTTTATAAGGGTAAATTACAGATGGATCAAAAAATTAATGTAAAAATCAAAGCACAAAACCACTAAAACACCATGGGATATGTTTTGTAATCTTAAGTTTTCTAACTTCCAGAAATAAAAAACATTGATAAATTTAATTATATAAAAATTTACTAAATTCTCCATGACCAAAAACTCTTCCTTATAATAAGCCCTACTCAAAATAAAAATTTACAATACATATCATAAGCAATGTGTAATTTTCTTGTATTATAAACAAACTACAAACTATCATAAGACAGTTCAATATAAAAAGGAACAAATATTATATTTCTAGAAATGAATATACAGTTTGTTTTAAATGTACAAAAGATGATGTAATCACATTCTCTCACAAGCTAGTCTGAAATACCTGTCACAGTGTCAAAAATTTAAAAAAACTGATTACACATGATGGGTACAATCAAGCATATTCTAACATTGTTGGCCAGGATATGAACTGGCTTATCTATTATACCTACCAAAATTAAATGCAAATACTCCGAGATCTAGAAATTCTACTTCTATAAATTTACATGGCATATATCTTTCCTTGGTGTAATATTTATAAGGGTTTCCTTGACTTGCTAAGGGTTCCATTTATGTGATGCATAGACCAGAGGTTGGCACTCAATAAAGAGCTACTTGTTGTGAAAACCAAGAGACTGAGGTCAGAGAGATGGCTCACCAGGCTTAGCACATTCTTTGCATGCTGGAGTCCTAGTTCACTCCCTGTCACTGCATGGTGCCCTGAGCACAGCTAGGAGTGACTCCTGAGCAAAAAAGCAGCGGCTCCTGAGCACTGCCAGGTGGGGACCAAAAACAAATAAAAAAGCAAGAACTGCCCCAGCACCATCAGGTCCCTGAGCCACGCTGAGAGCAATTCCTGAACAGCGAGTAAGGAACAGCCCGCAGCATTGTTACTTCCCCAAAGCAAACGATTAGAAACAGTCCTTATTACTGCCTGTTAATAAGGGATTTACTGAGTAAAGTATGATATGATCATTCATTGGGCTAGCAGGTCAAGAAAGAGGAAGCTCTTGGTGCAATGTGTCTCTGGACTAATCTTCAAGTGTCTG